GGTCTTTTGGAACCTCCCCAGACTCGAACCTCCAACCTCTACCACCTTAACAAAGTTAAGGCTAAGTCTGGTACCATTGAGTTCAATGGTACCAGACTTAGCCTTAACTTTGTTAAGGTGGTAGAGGTTGGAGGTTCGAGTCTGGGGAGGTTCCAAAAGACCCTGGAGAGGCAGTGGTGAGGAATAACCACAGTACCACCTGTGGGAAAGTCGGCTTTGGTCCAGTGATGGGCCAGAGTCCAGTACCGAGTCGAGGCCCAAGGAGTGGCTTCGTACTGTTACATAAAAGGCGCCTTTTTAATGTAATAGCCCTCCGCTCACCCCGCCTCCCCGAGGTCTTTTGCGGCGCTGGACACTCTCCCCCTAGGCCCCACAACAGGGCGACCCCACCCCTTACGGTGAGCATCAGGAGACAAAGGCTTCCCCGCAGTAGTGTGCGGATTATTCCCCTTGCGGAGAGCCTCCCCAGGTTCGATCCTCCAACCTCTCCTACATAACAAATTTAGGTTTTGAGAAAAAAATGATAATAATAGGAATTTATATTATTTGAGGTTATTTAGAAATAATATTATGGTTAGGTATTTAATTATGAATTTAAAATTTAAATTTAAAACCACATAAGCAATGTTAGTTAAGATATAATACATAAATAATTTTTTTTTATGTATGTGTTGAAAAAAAAAGAGAGAGAGAAGGTAGAAGGAACAAAAAAAAGGGGGTGGAAGGTTGTTGTTTTTAAGTCCCACATTGGTTAGATGAGGGAAGAGAAGAGGTGCCTTCATGTATAAAAAGGAAGGGGTGTGTGCATTAGGAAGCATGAGAGGCTAAGATGCAATTTAGAAAAAATTGCAACTTTTGGCCCAAAGGTTTGAATAATTAAATTCAAACCTATAGTTTTTTTTTAATATAATTTTGGGACTCACAATCCCATTTTTATATTATTTTTCTCTCTTCCTCTCACGTTGCTCGGCGTTTTCTCACAAGGGGGATTATTTTCTTTTTCTTCAGGTATGTTCTAACTTTCCTGTTTAGATTAGCATTTAAAAATTTATTTAATTACAAAATTAATTTTATAGTTATTTTCTAAATAATATTAGCTTTCTAGTGATATGATTATTTTGTAGGATAGAGTAAATATTTTGATTAGGATTTTTCTATAGGATAGTTAATCTGATGATATGATGGATTAAAAATATAGGTTAAAACTCTTAGGGATATAATAAATATTATAGAATATTTTCTTGAGGTTGAAACTCATGTTTAAGAATTTTTGAGTTAAAATCTAGATCTATATGGTTGAATTTATGTGGAATCTGAGATGTAGGGATGAACCTATGATTATTAAATATTTATTTAAGTATGAATAGGTATTTTTGAGGTTATAAAAAGGTGATTTGAGGTTTCAGGATAATTTTAAAATTTTTAATTTATTTTTGGACGAATTTTTAGAATATAAAAGGATGAAATTGTGATACTAGAAGTGATTTGAGATAAAAAAAATAGTTTATTAGGGTACGAGAATTTTAGAAAAAGAATTTGGGAAGTTAAATGAGGCATAAATCTTAAATTAGTATTAATATGGATTATAGATCTAAGACTTTCTAATTCTTTAAATTAGAGTTATTTATTTTAATGTAAAATTAATATATAGTATTGTGAAATAATTATGTAGATTATATTGACAAAGATAGTGGTAAAAAAGGAGTTGTGAAGGGGAACTTGTTATTCAAGACACAAGGTAACCATTATTAATGTGTTGTGATGAGTGTGTTTGTGAATGGTTATGTGTTGACTTGTTGTTTGGAAAAACTATGAATTATTGAAAATAAATACTGTTATATACTTGTTTGAAATTATTGCCAAGTGGGTTACAAATTTATTTTTGTTTATCATGATGAGATATTATTGTTCGGATATATTCTTGCTTGGATATTTGAATGATGCATGACTTGTCAGGGTATTTTAATGTATGGTGTTAATGGGAATTTCTGTTCGGTTAATTATTACCACGTGGTAAGCCTCATTGGACCCAATGAGTGACGTGTCGCTTGGTCCAACTCACCTTTGGCCGGGTGATTTGGCGTCCGAGCATGGCGAAAGGAGGATATAAGTGCAGTCATGCAAATTAAATACTTATTCGGTTTGTTTGAAAGTATTGTTCGGTTAAATGTTTTGTGTGCCCACTTAGCAATCGCATGATTAGTTACATCTGCATGCATCATTACATATTATTTTTGGTTACTGGGACTTTTAAGTCTCATTCCCTGTGATTAACATTTTTTTTATGTAACAGCCCTCCTGGGTCACCACTGCCTCTCCAGGGTCTTTTCCCAGGCGCTGGACAACACACATGTCACCACATGATTGCCGGCTTCCCACTGGCGGTACAGTGGTTATTCCTCACCCCACCCTCACGGGGGTCTTTTGGAACCTCCCCAGACTCGAACCTCCAACCTCTACCACCTTAACGAAGTTGAGGCGAAGTCTGGTACCATTGAGTCACTTGGTGGGGTGAGGAATAACCACTGTACCGCCAGTGGGAAAGCCGGCAATCATGTGGTGACATGTGTGTTGTCCAGCGCCTGGGAAAAGACCCTGGAGAGGTAGTGGTGACCCAGGAGGGCTGTTACATCTTGTGGCAGCACTCTATTCAATTATTATTACTATTAGAATTTTGGAATTAATCTCCACCCTTGATGAGTCATAACTTTAATCATAATGAGTTACCTAAAATCTAATATTAATGTGTGATTAATAACTAAAAAAGAAAATAATTTTTTGTCTTAATTGTGATTATTTCGATCAGCATATTTTCTTTATAATGAAGTGAATTAATGCTGATTGAATATTCTTTTTATGCGGAAGCCTTCCTTCACTATAAATAGTGATTAGAGGCTGGAGGTAGGATCATTTCAGGGCAAACAATTCTCTAGTCCACTCCTCCTCTCCCTCTCTTTCTCTTTAGTGCATCTGCTGTGTGCTGTAATATGATAGATTCTAGTAGTCTAAACTTGTGTGGATAGTTGGGTAAATTCTATAATGTCTGGATCTAGTAAAACTCTAATATAACTCCTTTATTTTATTTATTATTTATTTTAATATTCCTTCAATTACTTTAACAAAAAAAAAACACTGCCACAATGCATATTCTTAGAGCATTATTTGATTCTTAATATAAAATACTTGATGAAATATTAATTATATTTTTTTACTATTGTTTCTATTTAAATTCATCAATGTTAAGAAAGAATATATGTATTGTAAATTTTATTTTTTTCATTTAAATAGAAATAAAAATAAAAAATTATTATATTTTCAAACAAACAAAGTTGTTGCTTCAACCAATATCATTGATTTTTGTGAAATGATTAGAGATATAACAGGTACAACAAACAATAAAGGGAGTAAAAAATCTAACAAGACATACTATTATTTCTTAAAGTTTGCCCTGCGTGAGTACATAAATTAGTTAACGAGTAAGGGAGAACAATAATAAAGTTTCAAAACCAAAAATTTATACTCCATTCATTAAAAAATATTTTTTAAGAAATTAAATGTTTAAAAATATAAGATATTTTTAATCTTTTGAAGTGTAATAATTATCTTTTTTTCAAAAGTGTCCCTATTGAAAATGACTTTATATTTACTACAGATATTTAATGGAGATAAATATAACAAGATAAAATTAGTTTAAAAATATATAACAATTTTATTAGGGTGAAGTTTGATTAAAAATGCCTTAAATTTTTTAACGGAGGGAGTAATGGCTAAGTCTTTGATGAAAAAATTTAAAAATTAAGTTACAAATATTAATCTAAATATTACAAAGGGTAAACCCAACTGCAAATTAAGAGATATATTCAGAATTTAAATATTTTATTTACAATTAAAATTTTTAAATTTACACCCACCTAAATTAACATTTATAAATGATTTTTCAATAAATTTTATGCATGAGAACTTAATTGCAATGAATTTATTATTTTAAAACTTTATTATTATTCTCCCACGAAATCATAGCGGGTCCAATTCGAATAACCTGTTTTAAAATGGTTAATTAATAATTAATGAGAAAAAAAATTATCGTGGTGCAATAAGTAATGTATTGATAGGCGCTGAAGAATGAAGAGCACGAGCGGCGTTTGCTCGGACTTTTCATAATTGTCGACTGCTGGCATTGCAGCCTCTGTCAAGCTACAGCACTGCGGCAACACCATCCACCCTCTTCACATTGGTCGTCGCGGGCCAACACAAAATATGTCAACTCAATTGATATTTTCTCATTTACTTCGATTGAAAATAGAATTTTTTAAATAATAATTTTATTATTATAAAAATATACTCCCTTCAATTTAAATTATAAAACACTTTTTTCAACTCATCTTAATTTAAAATATAAGATACTTAATAGATGTTGATTTTTTTTTAATTTATCATTATACGTATAATTTCATTAATATTTATTACATTTTTCTCATTTTTTATGATAGCTAAAATTTTTTTGGTCTGCAAGAAAATTCATATTTTCTCATGTTATAGTACTTCGTTGAAAAAATATTACCTCTCTCATTTAATTTATTATTGACAATTGAAAAAAAAAAGACAAAAGAAAAAACTTATTATATTTGTAACTAGGTTATAGGTGAATTTTATTGGTATTGAAATTATAATTAAATATGTTTTATATTTTGAACTGAAGGAAGTATATTATTTTTTTATTTTTAAACTCAATTACCAGTACATTTTACAACGAGCAAGATAAATTCTTATACCTTAATTCATGTTAATAAATACAATAGGCAGAGTGTAACACCCTCAAAAAATACAAACCGATTTTTCGCAAATTATTAAAACCATTATTATGGTAGAAAATGATACATCCAAGACAATATACCACAGGTCTTAAAATATCTCAAAAAAAGCAATTAGAACCATAAGGGACAGACAGGATCCTCATGTCATGATATTCAAATCAGATCATAAATCAAGAGGGACAGATATAATCCTCTTGGTCATATAAATACTTTTAATAAAAAGGATTAGAGTTTACATGCTTCACAAAAAAACATATGTCCTAAGTTAGCACAAGATACATTATATAATCTAAAATAAGAGGCAACGTAAAAGATGGTGTCTCATACACCATAGTTACACCTCTGGTGCTTTCTTGGCCGGACTCGCTCCTGTAAAAATATTAACCACGGGGAATGAGACTTAAAAGTCCCAGTAACCAAAAATTAATATGTAATGATGCATGCGGATGTAACTAATCATGCGATTGCTAAGTGGGTACACAAAAACATTTAATCAAACAATATTTCCAAACAAACCGAACAAGTATTTAATTGCATGACTGCACCTTATATCCTCCTTTCGCCATGCTCGGACGCCAAATCACCCGGCCAAAGGTGAGTTGGACCAAGCGACACGCCATCATTGGGTCCAATGAGAGCTTACCACGTGGTAATAATTAACCAAACAGAAATTTCCATTAACACCATACATTAAAATACCCTGACAAGTCATGCATCATTCAAATATCCAAACAGGAATATATCCGAACAATAATATCTCATCATGATAAACAAAAATAAATTTTTAACCCACTTGGCAATAATTTCAAACAAGTATATACAGTATTTATTTTCAATATTTCATAATTTTTCCAAACAACAAAACAACACATAACCATTCACAAACACACCCATCACAACACATTAATAATGGTTACCTTGTGTCTTGAATAACAAGTTCCCCTTCACAACTCCTTTTTCACCACTATCTTTGTCAATATAATCTACATAATTATTTCACAATACTATATATTAATTTTATATTAAAATAAATAACTCTAATTTAAAGAGTTAGAAAGTCTTAAATCTATAGTCCATATTAACACTAATTTAAGATTTATGCCTCATTTAACTTCCCAAATTCTTTTCTAAAATTCTCGTACCCAATGAACTTTTTTTTTATCCTCAATTCACTTCTAGTATCACAATTTCATCCTTCTACATTCTAAAAATTCATCCAAAAATAAATTAAAAATTTTAGAATTATCCTGAAGCCTCAAATCACCTTTCTATAACCTCAAAAATACCTATTCATACTTAAATAAATATTTAATAATCATAGGTTTATCCCTACGTCTCAGATTCCACATAAATTCAACCATATAGATCTAGATTTTAACTCAAAAATTCTTAAACATGAGTTTCAACCTCAAGAAAATATTTTATAATATTTATTATATCCCTAAGAATTTTAACTTATATTTTTAATCCATCATATCATCAGATTAACTATCCTATAGAAAAATCCTAATCAAAATATTTACTCTATCCTACAAAATAATCATATCACTAGAAAGCTAATATTATTTAGAAAATAACTATAAAATTAATTTTGTAATTAAATAAATTTTTAAATGCTAATCTAAACAGGAAAGTTAGAACATACCTGAAGAAAAAGAAAATAATCCCCCCTTGTGAGAAAACGCCGAGCAACGTGAGAGGAAGAGAGAAAAATAATATAAAAATGGGATTGTGAGTCCCAAAATTATATTAAAAAAAAACTATAGGTTTGAATTTAATTATTCAAACCTTTGGGCCAAAAGTTGCAATTTTCTCTAAATTGCATCTTAGCCTCTCATGCTTCCTAATGCACACACCCCCTCCTTTTTATACATGAAGGCACCTCTTCTCTTCCCTCATCTAACCAATATGGGACTTAGAAACAACAACCTTCCACCCCCTTTTTTTTGTTCCTTCTACCTTCTCTCTCTCTTTTTTTTCAACACATACATAAAAAAATATTTATGTATTATATCTTAACTAAATATTGCTTATGTGGTTTTAAATTTAAATTTTTAAATTCATAATTAAATACCTAACCATAATATTATTTCTAAATAACCTCAAATAATATAAATTCCTATTATTATCATTTTTTTTTTCAAAACCTAAATTCCACAATTTCTTTATTATATAAAAAATCAGGATGTTACACAGAGTGATTTTTTTTTATTTACATATACTAGATTTACATTTTAATATTAACTTTGAGAAATATCTATATTTTACACTGTAGGAAGTAACGTCTTTCTTTTTCCCTTTTCTATTATCATTTCTCATGCTCCACTTCATCCTTTCAACTTGAACCAGTGGCAGAGTTTATTGTATTATACATCACACTTTTCATTTTATTTTTCCAACCAAATCGTACTATGCTAAATCATTTTGCATTTAATATGTATCTGAAAAAAATAAAATTGTTTTAGTATTAATTGTTTGATCCAACCACTGCAATGTGTAATCCGCACATACTATATATTAAAAAATTCCAACATCTTTTTCCCTTGCATGAAAATATTCATTAAGAAATGACACTTGTATAAAATAGTGTTCAGTTTATATGTATCTTGATTGACTCAATTTTATTTCAATCATATTAAAATAGGTGTCATTCCTGTTCGAAAACATTTAGAATAAGATAAGAAAGAGATTTGAAACGGGACAAGATATAAGATTACTTTTGGTACGTCCCGTCCCCTCTCTAATATTATATATATATATATATATATTAAAATATATATTAAATATATTAATATAATTTATATTTATATTAATTATATCAATTATAATTTTAATATGTATACTTTTTTTTCAAAAATTAAAAGTTTTTTATGCTACGTAGCATAGCTGACACGGGCTTCTGGAAAATTGAAAACTAATAGTAGAAGCAGTAGGGCTGACTTCCAATTTCTTAGAAGTAACCCATCTGTTTCAAGCGAAAGACAAAGGACCAATAAATTTTTTATTTATCATCAGGGGCAAGAAAATAATTGAAGCAATTTTTAGAATACGGCTGCCTCAGCACAGCCTTGTCAATCCATATCCACAATATAAAATTTCAATACAGGAAACAATAATGACTTCCGTACCCTATACGATCAGATCGACGCGCAGATGAATCATATTCATATATTGAATAATAACATACCACTAGTGGACATCTCCGTGGTTGGGTGTATGGATAAAATCATGAGCAATTAAATACAAACACGATTCTCCTTGTATATATAAAATTACGAAAACACACGGCCGTTGAATTTCCCAAGCGTCTGCTCAATTTTGAAATAATCTAATTAATTAATAGTCCCAAGGTGTTGAATAGCGCACGTGCGATCCCCAAGAATCACCAATGCTGAGCTAGAGTCAAGTTGACTTGTGGAATTGACTTAGGTTGGTTATTCATTTATTTATCTTACAACCAGGTCAGAATATGAAAAGCAAAAGAAACGAAAGAGAAAAGCGGACCTCCATTGAACTGACAACTGAGGGCTTGAAGCGTTCAAAAGCCACGTCAACAGGACTATTTCGCCCACTAGACCATTTCCCCCCTCTTTCCTTTCTTTCTTTCTTTCTTATTTATTTATTTATTTTTTATTTTCGAATCTTGCCCTCAGCCCTCCTCCCGGGAGTGGCGCCCTTCCAGTCATTCCCTCACACTAACATCTGATAACTCAGCTCTCCTGTTGCCACGTGTCATGTCCTTTTTCAACTGCTCTTGTTTTCTCTTACCCTTCCCTCTCCCGCCTTCCTTCATTCCCTCTCGTTTGCTCTTCGTTTGCAGCGCTCACATTGTGCCACTCCAGCATCTCTTGTCCTTTTCCTTCATTTGTTTTTATTCAATTTTACGCAGCGAGCCTTCAATAATCTCATGCACTTACACACGTACACAACATATATTTCTGGTAGATTTTCCATACTCCTCTGTTTTTATTTGAATTTCAAGTGAATTGCATTGAGATTTGACATTTATCATACTGTCCGTTTGGTTTCCGGGAAAACTGTCTGAATCGCGCCTGTTAAGTTCTTTCCTGTGTAATTCTAAGCTGCCAAGCCTGTTGACGTCCATTTCAATTTGGTTTTCCTGCATTGATGACACGCGTGACTTAATTCGTTTAATCGGTCATGGATCATCTGGAAATTAGACTGCAGAGTGAGATGGAGAGTTGAATCACACCCTTGGAGTGTTCGGCAACAATGTCGAATCCAGAGCCGGGACAGCAGCTGGCGAGGCGACCTTCGAGAAGTGCCGCCTCCTCAACGTTTTCCACCGAAGTCTTCGACAATGAAGTTGTTCCCTCCTCACTCGCTTCCATCGCTCCCATTCTTCGAGTAGCCAATGAGATCGAAAGCGAGCGCCCCCGGGTTTCTTACCTTTGTACGTCCCCAAACTATAGACCAATCGATTCAATTTCATAAATTCTAATTGTGTTTTCCCCCATTATTTTAAGGTCGGTTCTATGCGTTCGAGAAAGCGCACAGGTTAGATCAAAGCTCCAGTGGTCGTGGTGTAAGGCAGTTTAAGACGTTATTGCTTCAGCGGTTAGAGAGGGTAAAGATGAACATTTCCTTTTCCCACTCATGTTTTATTTAATTCGTGATTACGATAGCACACGTAATACTAAAAACGAACTCTTATTAAATCTATTCAGCGAGGGCAACGAGATTATGTTAAAAAAAAAAATGGAGTTACCGCTTAACAAAGAATTCATCAGAGGCAGATGTTGGGCTGACGATAATATTGGAAATCAGCACACTACACTTTGCGTTACTTCGTCGAGGAATCTGTATTAAATTTGACCTTTTACTCCTACATCAACTTAAATAATTTATCGAACGCAGGACAATGCATCCAGTTTGGCCTCTCGGGTTAAGAAGACAGATGCAAGAGAAATCCAGGCTTATTATAAGCAATACTATGAACAATACGTCAGAGCTCTTGCCCAGGGTGAGCAAGCAGACAGGTACATACATGAATTCTCGCTTTCGTCCACTTATTGCTTTCATTGTATGCATACTAAACATACTTTTCCTTTGTTCCTGAAATCCTTTTCTAGAGCCCAGCTCGGCAAAGCTTACCAAACTGCTGGGGTGCTTTTTGAAGTGCTTTGTGCTGTTAACAAGTCCGAACAGGTCGAGGAAGTATCTCCTGAGGTTAGTTCTCAATCATATATCCTATTGTACCCCCTTTGGTAATGTAAATTCCTCTTTCATTCAATTCATTTCAAATTCTTGAGTCGTAATAGCAATAAATTTTGTGTAAGCAGATCATCGAGGCTGCAAGAGATGTCCAGGAGAAGACAGGGATATACACACCTTATAACATCCTTCCTCTGGATTCTGCGGGGGCTTCTCAGCCTATCATGCAGCTTGAAGAAGTATTACTTCTGCAACGATTTATTGGTGCTGAACTTATAGTTTTACTTAGAATTACACCGAGTTTTTTTGGCTTTCTTTCTATAACAGATCAAGGCTTCTGTTTCGGCGCTTGGTAACACTCGTGGCTTGAACTGGCCTCCTTCGTTCGAGCAGAAGAGGCAGAAAGCTGGAGAGCTAGACCTTCTTGATTGGCTTAGAGCCATGTTCGGGTTCCAGGCATGTTTTGGCACCCGACCCAATGAAGGGGCGCGGAGTGAAGATTTTTGTATATTTAGATGTTTTTCTACAAATTGCAAAAATCATTTCGATTCATTTGGTTTATTTGGACACAGAGGGACAACGTCAGGAACCAGAGGGAGCACTTGATTCTGCTTATTTCTAACTCTCACATAAGGCTTCATCCCAAACCTGAACATCTCAATAAGGCACGTAGAGGCCTGTTCCTGCCCTTTTTTTTGGCTATTGGTAACTAGTCACAGCTTCATGTTTTTGGTTTTCTTGTTTTGGTCTATTGCAGCTTGATGATCGTGCTGTTGATGCAGTGATGAAAAGTCTCTTTAAGAATTACAAACAGTGGTGCAAATTTATGGGACGAAGACATAGTTTACGGTGAGAAAAAGCAAAATCTGGATTATAGCTAACATTTATAGCATCGACCTTCTTTAACTTCTTCATTGATTAACTTTTGTTGTTGAGAACAAAAATCCTAAATTTCTCACGATGAAAGCGCGCATTGATTTTTCAGACTCCCTCAAGGTCAGCAGGATATACAACAAAGGAAGCTACTTTACATGGGTTTGTATCTTCTCATCTGGGGTGAGGCATCTAATGTTCGCTTCATGCCAGAATGCCTTTGCTATATATTTCACAATGTGAGTACATATTTTCTGGGCTGCAACACGTCTTATGCCAGAATGCCTTTCAACAAGTGTTCTGTTAAAAAAATGCTGTAGAACTTACTTCTAATGTTGAGTGTGCCAACAATGGCAAATTATAACCTCAGATGGCATATGAGCTCCATGGCTTATTGGCTGGAAATGTCAGCATCGTTACCGGTGAAAATATCAAGCCCTCATATGGCGGTGATGATGAGGCATTCCTTCGTAAGGTTATCTCTCCCCTGTACCGAGTAATTGAAAAGGTATGTTATCGTCTGACAATGGACCCTGTCGTTCTGCCCAAATACCACTGTCCTATGACGACTGATGAGTTACACGTATATGATATGCAGGAAGCCGAGAAGAGCATGAATGGAACAGCTCCTCATTCAAGTTGGTGTAACTATGATGATCTGAATGAGTATTTCTGGTCTGTTGGGCTTTAGGATTATCCTGAACATGACTTTGATGTTGCCTTGTTTCATTTTTCATTAATTTAAAAAATGGTTTATCATTAAGTTTCTTTTACAGGTCATCTGATTGTTTCTCTCTTGGATGGCCCATGCGTGATGATGGTGATTTTTTTAAATCAATACGTGACCAATCACAGGTACCTGCACTGGAGAATTTTGTGCCCCAGACTGTAGAAAAGTATCCTGGTTAAAAGCTTACGAAAAATTTTGTACCAGGGAAGGAAGGATGCCCCTAAAAAACCTCGAAGCACTGGCAAATCTAATTTTGTCGAGACCCGGACATTTTGGCACATCTTCCATAGCTTTGACCGTCTCTGGACCTTCTATTTTCTGGCTTTGCAGGTACTCCCCAGCTGTTTTTGATCGCATGTCAATAAAAAATTTATTATTTAATTGAAATCTTATTAAATCACACTAAATTTTTAATTTTATCTCTAATAATATTGATTAATATTATGGTGGTGGTGGGTAGAGCACACAATTAATATATTTTTTTAATATAAGAAAAAAATTATCTAATTACTTAAAAATATCATGACACTTTTTATATTTAGAAATAAAATAAATTTAAAAGAATTTATATATATAGGGACGGAGGGAGGGAGTATTCAATAAAGAAATGCTTATATCATCATGTGTCTTTAAACTTGCCATGACACGGCCTGAACACCATGACAGGTAATGTTTGTTATAGCATGGGAAGATGTTGCGCTGGTGGAAGTATTTCAGAAGAACGTCTTGTATAGTCTATCTAGTATATTCATTACAGCAGCCATTCTACGCTTACTTCAAAGTATGATACCTTCACTAACCTGGCACTACGTTATTGTTTGCTTTTCACTTTTTTTACTTCCTCGCTGACTACAATTTTCCATTAACATTTTTATTCTTTTCTATTTTGATTCAGGCATCTTGGACCTTAGCATGAACTTTCCTGGCTATCATCGATGGAAATTCAGTGCTGTGCTAAGAAACATTCTCAAGCTAATTGTTAGTCTTGCGTGGGCTGTCATTCTTCCAGTCTGCTACATACATTCCTTCAACGGTTTACCTCATGGCCTCGAGAAGCTGTTTGACTCTCTTAATCAAGTAAAGGACATTTCGAAAATCTCACCAAAAAACGAGGGCATTCCAGCATTGTATGCTGCGGTTGTGGTGTTATATCTACTTCCAAATTTACTAGGAGCTTTTCTCTTTCTTTTCCCGATGCTCCGGCGTTGGATTGAAAACTCGGATTGGCACATAGTTAGATTCCTCTTATGGTGGTCACAGGTATTTTACGCATTGCTATCGTTTCTCAATATCTTGTTCACTTGATAAATTAACAACTTCTCTTCATGGCCTTAAACTAAAATTCTTCTTCTGACTAGAAGTTTATTTGCAAATATGCAATTGAGTTTAGAACCAAAACATTGAGGAACAACTTCTAGGTCAATTTAATTTGAATGGAAAAATTGATCTGTCGTATGAAGAGTGTATTTGGCTAATATTACCTAGTGAGAACTTTCGAGGTGAGCACAAAACTTCAAGTCATATTTGCCTTATTATTTACTTTTCATTCATAATATTAAAAATCAAAGTATATATTTAATTTTAACGGTTGATTTATAATCTAACAATGATCATATCCTCCTTGACTGTACTCATGAGATAAAATTACTCTCTTCATTTGTGTATGTGCACACATGTCCAAACACATGCCCCACCTGTTGTACTCTTAAAAGTATTAAAATTTAAGTGCTACTGCCCTTTGTAATTCAAAAAATTGATAATCATTACCAAAAATTTAAGATCTAACTTGACCCTGATCTAAAATTAAATTATAAGGTACTGTTTAAATGGTAACTATTGAAATTTACGTTACATGGTTTTGGCCATAAAATTATACTGCTTTGTGTGTGCGTAGCTAGCAGAGGTACTAATAATGCCCCCTCCCCGAAGTTGCTTTTAAACAACTTGCAAAATCAAAGTTGAACCTCAGATATATTTCCTCGGAGCCAATATATGTTAAATTCAAAGAATTACGTTTGGAGATTGTTCAAATTCCAATCTTTTGATGTTGCATTTTTTCTTGCTGTACAAGGTATCCACTGCAAGAAAACTTTTTGGGGCAACGAATTTATCTAAAATCATACTTTTGTATCATTTCTGGCAATTTTTTTTTTGGTAAATATTTTGGGGCAATATTTATTTGAGAGAGCGTTGATTGACTTACCACGTTCTTTTGCTTGCTAAGATTAATTATCAAGTCATTCTTCTTCACCGAAAGTTTCAAATTATCAAAGAAAAATTAGTGCTTATCAATCTTAAAAAATTTAAGTAGTTTTCATTTTCTAAATGAGATTTTCCCTTTTTACGTAGCCACGAATCTATATTGGGAGGGGAATGCATGAGAGCCAATTTTCTCTCCTAAAGTAAGTTGCCCCAGGCATTTTTGGCTCTGAAATTATATTATGGTCCTTTTCTTCTGCTAAAATTTGAAATTTGTGTGATCATCCATATTTTTTCTTTTAATTTTAGGTACACTATTTTCTGGTTGCTGCTCCTGGCATCTAAGTTTATATTCAGCTTTTTCATCCAGGTGACTGCTGCATGTGTAGTTCGTTGGCCCATGCTAACTACCGAGCCTCGTTTGCTAAATCTTCTGTGTCTGCAGATAAAACCTCTAATTCGTCCCACGAAGGACATAATGAGGATCAAACATATCAACTATACTTGGCATGAATTTTTTCCTGAGGGTACTCTCTTCTTTCCCATGATTTTAATGTAATCAATTGTTGCTTTATTAGTTGATCAAACTACTCTTCTGTTGGCGCAGCTCGTCATAACTACAGCGCGGTTGTGGCGCTCTGGGTTCCTGTACTTTTGGTTTGAACACTATCTTTTCTTGGATATGTTTGCATGTGTAGTCTTCTTGGTTGGGGCATCAATCATGTCATCTCATCTTACATTGTCGATGCAGGTTTATTTCATGGATACTCAAATTTGGTATTCTGTTTTCTCAACCATTTATGGAGGTGTTTATGGAGCCTTCGATCGTCTGGGAGAGGTTATCATCAATTTTATCTTGTTTTTGTCTTGTAAAGACTGGAGAAAAATTAGGATGATAATATTGGCTGTTTACTTTTGTGAAATACACACGCACCCACAGAAACTCAAACCTACTGTGTCAAGAAATTAGTGTTTATGATGTCGAAGTTGTTTACAGCCAAATGATGTTGATACCTTCTTACTTTCAACAGGTTCGCACTTTGGGCATGCTAAGATCGCGTTTTCAGTCATTGCCTGGTGCATTCAATACATGCTTGGTGCCTACGGATCAGAAACAAAAGAAGAGATTTACACTTTCGAAGAAATTTGCTGAGGTTGCTATAGTTTTTTCATAGCTAAATAGTGAAGGCAAACATAGTTATTGATCTTGTGCTTTTATGTGGTTGTATAGATTAGTGCGAGCCGAAGAAGTGAAGCTGCCAAATTTTCTCAATTATGGAATGAAATTATTTGCAGTTTTCGTGAGGAAGATCTCTTAAGTGATAGGAAAGGGCTTAGAGCTAAACTCTTTGATTTCTTGCTTTTGTTTATGCGCGTAGCTTCTCTTCCATCTCTTGACTGTTGTGCATCACTTATTTTTTGCTTACTTTACTCCAGGGAGATGGACCTTCTGCTGGTTCCTTACTCGTTATCAGATCCTAGCCTGAAAATAATTCAGTGGCCGCCCTTTCTGCTTGCAAGCAAGGTCAGTGTAACTGATTTGATTGTCATATTCTTATGGTTGTTAACAATTTACGTAGTTGACCCAATTTACATTTGCAGATTCCTGTAGCACTGGATATGGCTGCTCAATTTCGTGGAAGAGACTCTGATCTTTGGAAGCGTATATGTGCAGATGAATATATGAAATGTGCCGTGATTGAATGCTATGAAGCTTTCAAAAATATCCTGAATACTTTGGTGGTAGGAGAAAATGAAAAAAGGTAGCTTTTGGTATTGAGTCGAAAACATTAATGTTCAATTGTGAGTCCATTTTAAATTACACTTCTAGCTGGAAAAATTATATAAAAACAATTTGACTTTTTAATTCCCTCCAAGTCTATGCATAGCAAATCGATTCTTGTCTGTTTTTCTTTTTCTTGATTTGCTTTAAATTTCATTTGTCTTCCTCAATCTTTTTTCAAAAAAGATAAAAGAAAAAGAAGTGGAGCAAGTGGTAACATGCCTAATTCATTTTGGTTTGAAGCACATGAATTCATATTCATATTGCAGTATCATTGGTTAACCAATACATCTGAAATCATTGTTGTCGAACAGGATAATATCCATCATCATCAAAGAAGTTGAAAGCAACATCGCAAAGAATACACTTCTCACAAATTTCCGATTAGGATTTTTGCCCTCCCTTTGTAAGAAGTTTCTGGAGCTTGTAGAAATTCTGGTAATTCAAAAAAATTATGTTCCAAATGGCTCTTGTCTAGATGTATTCAATCTGAAATTAGCACTTTCCTTTCACATTATAGAAAGAAGCAGATCCATCCAAGCGACATGCTGTGGTACTCTTGCTGCAAGACATGCTAGAAGTGGTTACCAGTGATATGATGGTGAATGAAAGCAAGTTGGTGACATTCATGGAACTAAATTTGTACTAGAATATGTTTGGCGTATGGCGCTGTATTTGGCTCTGACTTCTATGTTTGTGATGATGTTCATAAGTGAATTGGTGGAGCTCGGTCATAGTAAGGATTTTGGAAGGCAACTTTTTGCTGATGGTACTGATGCAAAACCTGCTATACTATTTCCACCTGCTGTTACAGCACAATCGGCAGAACAGGTACTTGATAAATTTATTGTGATTGTTATAGTTGATACCATTGTGATGATTCAGGAGGCTGCTATAATTAATGAAATATAATGGTGCCTTGGTGCAATTTCAGATAAGACGTCTTTATCTTCTCTTGACAATGAAGGAATCTGCAATTGATGTGCCAACCAACCTTGAAGCCCGCAGAAGGATTGCTTTCTTTACCAATTCATTGTTTATGGATATGCCACTTGCACCACGCGTTCGTAAAATGCTCTCATTCAGGTCTGATGAAGATATATGCCAATGTCATACTTTCCAGAATCACGGCATCATGCTTTTTCTCATACACATTCCTCATTTATCACAGCTAAAACAAAGTCCTAGGGGTCACATTCTGGTTTTTCCCTTGTTTTATGATGACAAATTGTCCCACAATTACCTTTCTTTGTATGTTAAGTGACGGTTTGTTTGTGTGCGTGGTTTTGTGTGTGTAAATTAGAGTATCTATTGCACTGCTATTTTAGCTTCCCTGCATCCTGCAACTGTGTGTGCTTCATGTATAGAATTTGGCTTGTTTGCAGTGTCCTAACTCCATACTACAGTGAAGAGACTATCTATTCAAAGAATGACCTTGAGATTGAAAATGAGGATGGTGTGTCAATCATATATTACTTGCAAAAGATCTATCCTGGTTCGTAATGACTAACTTAGCTTTGCTTTTTAATGATAAAGACTGGCTAAAATGTTATAACTTTTCAGATGAGTGGAATAACTTCATGGAGCGACTTAATTGTAAAAAATACAGTGACATAATGGAGAAAGATGAGAATGTATTGCAGCTTAGACTCTGGGCTTCCTTAAGGGGACAGACTCTATGCAGGACAGGTATAAGATGAATTAGGTCAATTATTAATTAGTAATGATTCTCTTATAGCTGCAAATCTCCTGTATTTATAAACTACTGCAGTTAGGGGAATGATGTACTACCGGCGTGCTCTGAAACTCCAGGCTTTTCTCGATATGGCCAATGAGAAAGGTAAAAGATGTTTTGTTAAATCCTCATATATAGAGCTAAATCTTATCACTTGTCAGCACTTTTCTCCTCCATTATAAATAACTTGCAATGTATGATGAAATGAATTGTCATGTTCATCATGGAAATGACTAAAGAATTTATTTTCCAAAATGATTAATTTGTATAATAATCTTTTTACTCTCTTGTGGTCGTTAGAGATACTGGATGGATATAAAGCCCTCACAGATCCCTCGGATGAAGATAATAAGAGCCAGAGATCCTTGTATGCTAGTCTAGAGTCTGTGGCTGACATGAAATTCACATATGTTGCTACCTGTCAGAACTATGGGAATCAAAAGCGGAGTGGAGATCGTCGTGCAACAGATATCCTGAATTTGATGGTTAAGTACGTTCTTCGGCTGATATTCTAAATTGGGTCCTTTCATTTGCATTTATGTTTTATCCTGAATTGCACTTCATTTGTAGCAATGCCACGCTTCGTGTGGCATATATCGATGAAGTTGAAGAAAGAGAAGGTGGAAAATCTCAGAAAGTTTATTATTCTGTACTGATTAAAGCTGCGGACCATCTTGACCAAGTAAATTCATAGCTAACTCAACAAGAGAAGTGCTAATTTACTATTCCTCTTTTCATAATTGATTGTTTTTTTATCTGATTTGAAGGAAGTGTATCGAATAAAACTGCCGGGGCCGGCAAAGCTAGGAGAAGGGAAGCCTGAAAATCAGAATCATGCCATCATTTTTACTCGAGGGGAAGCCCTTCAGACTATAGACATGAACCAGGTAAAAGTTAATTAAAAATTGTACAAATGTAACAATTTGATAATGGGAAATTTTTCTTGGTAAGATGATCAACTTTGTTCCAGGATAATTACTTGGAAGAAGCTCTGAAAATGCGTAACCTTCTGGAAGAATTTGGTGAGGATCATGGAGTCCGCCCACCTACTATATTAGGTGTCCGCGAACATATCTTCACTGGCAGGTCTGATGAAGCTTCTTACACATGGAACTGATATTTTTCTGTGATGTTTATTATTCTGGCAAGAAATTATTGATTACTTTGGTCACTTGTTACAGTGTTTCTTCCTTGGCTTGGTTTATGTCAAATCAAGAAACAAGTTTTGTTACAATTGGTCAAAGAGTCCTGGCAAGACCCCTAAAGTAAGTTCTTTTTCTAGCGATCTTACTAGATGGTTGACTTAGAAGTGTTTATTTTGTTTGTACGACAAAGCATGAAGTTCTTGTTAAAAAAAAAAAGAAAAGAAAAGAAAAAAAGACAAAGACAAGGATGGATCTCAAGCAAAGGCAGCCTTCTTCTTCGGTAAGGAGGAAAGGCAACCTTTTTAAATTTAGATTGTATTACATGTCCTCGATATAAAATAATAGTAAGTTACAATATCTTTTAATTATACGGTCTGGGTTTTGCTTACCCATTTTTGTGGTTTAAGAAAAGAAATGAAAATTTTTAGAGTAGATGGTGTATTATATATTCCTTCTCTGGCTTATGATAAGGTTTGTTCAATGACAGAATTCGATTCCACTATGGCCATCCAGACGTTTTTGATAGAATTTTCCACATCACACGAGGAGGAATAAGCAAGGCTTCTCGTGGCATCAATCTGAGCGAGGACATTTTTGCCGGTAAATTCGCAAAACATCTTTCTAAACCGCTTTTCCCTCTGCTTCATATGAGGCCTTTCGCCTATGTAGGTTTCAACTCAACGCTAAGACGCGGAAATATCACACACCATGAATATATCCAAGTTGGAAAGGGCAGAGATGTGGGGCTTAACCAAATCTCACTCTTTGAAGCAAAAGTGGCTTGTGGTAATGGAGAGCAGATACTAAGTAGGGATATCTACCGGCTGGGGCATCGTTTTGACTTTTTCCGCATGTTGTCATGCTATTTTACCACTGTTGGATTTTACATCAGCTCAATGGTAATGCTTATAATGCATGTAGAATTAAGCAGACAATATCTGGATTTGAAATTTTGTACCAAAAATGAGTCCAGTTATTTTTTCATGACTGAGCATTGCTACCCTGGGAATCAACATTTTTCGCTATCTCGCTATATAGTTGTTAAATTTGCTTGTGTGCTTGATTAATTGCCGACTTTCCACCTGCATTTAGCAATATCGCTTTCGTTTTCTAACTTGCAGGCTGTGGTCATCACAGTTTATGCTTTCCTATATGGAAGACTTTACCTGTCATTGAGTGGATTGGAGGAATCCATAATGAAAATAGCCAAGAAAAGTAAAGACGATCCCTTAAAGGCTGCGATGGCTTCACAATCCCTCGTTCAGATAGGTCTCTTGATGATTTTGCCTATGGTCATGGAAATTGGACTCGAGAGAGGGTTCAGAACTGCCTTGACTGATGTCATAATTATGCAGTTACAACTAGCTCCGGTTTTCTTCACTTTCTCACTAGGAACAAGGATGCATTATTTTGGGCGCACTCTCCTGCATGGTGGTGCAAAGTACAGAGCCACTGGACGTGGCTTTGTGGTCCGTCATGAGAAGTTTGCGGAGAACTACCGGTTGTATTCTAGAAGTCACTTTGTAAAAGGGCTAGAGCTCGCTATATTGCTTATATGCTACATGATTTATGGATATACAAAAGGTCCGATAGCATATGTCCTTGTGGCGGGCTCAATGTGGTTTATGGTGTGTTCTTGGCTGTTTGCTCCGTTCCTCTTTAATCCTTCCGGTTTTGAGTGGCAGAAGATAGTGGAGGATTGGGACGATTGGTCTAAATGGATCCATAGTCACGGGGGTATTGGTGTTCCTGCGAACAAGAGCTGGGAATCTTGGTGGGGTGAGGAACAAGAGCATCTGCAGCACACTGGGTTTCTTGGGCGGTTTTTGGAGGTGGTTCTTTCCTTGCGCTTCTTTGTCTATCAGTACGGGATTGTGTATCACCTAAATGTAGTTGAAGGAGTAAAGAGCATCATGGTAATTATTAAAAGTTCTCTCTCTTTCTATTTTGTCTGTCAAACTGTTGAATCTGCACTCAGCATTTTCTGATCTGTGTAGTAATTCTCTCCAGGTTTACGCCCTGTCGTGGATAGTCATACTAATTGTCATGGTCATCCTAAAGGTCGGTATGCACGTTATCAAACATTCATTCTAAGTAAGTTATTAACTCAGCCACGTTTAAATCAGCGTTTTGTTTAATGCTCGCATCTGATACTGCAGATAGTGTCTATGGGTAGAAAGAAATTCAGTGCAGATTTCCAGCTGATGTTCCGCCTCTTGAAATCGTTTCTATTTATTGGGTGCATTGTTGGTCTGGCCTTAATGTTCACTCTTATGAATCTCACAGTTGGTGATATATTCGCGAGTCTACTAGCGTTTTTACCAACAGGATGGGCACTCGTCATGGTATTCGTAGGATTTCTTTATATATCTCTTTCCATATGAAAAAGCTTTAGTTAATTAAACATTAATAAAGAAAATCACTATTTAATTAGCTGCTAATGAGTGTGTTGCATAAGCAGATAGCACAAGCATCCAGACCTATGGTGAAGGGCATTGGAATGTGGTCGTCAGTTAGAGCACTAGCAAGAGGGTACGATTACCTGATGGGGGTAGTTATATTTGCACCAATTGCAATATTGGCTTGGTTCCCATTTGTTTCGGAATTCCAGACCAGGCTGTTATACAACCAAGCATTCAGCAGAGGGCTTCAGATCCAGCGCATTCTTGCGGGTGGCAAGAAGAACAAGTAACACGAAACTGAATGGATGGATTGAGGATGATAGCAGGATATTATGCAGGCAGAGTTTAGGAGTACGGATATAGGCTCAGAGTGATTTTAGCAGAAATTATCAGATGGTGAACTAAGTATCAGTTGGGCGTAGGCCAAACTCCTAATTCTTTGCAGCTTTCAGGGTGTAGTGTTGTACCTGTGGGATGGATTCTGTAACCAGTTTAAAATTGTTGGAGCTCTTGCTCATATGCCTTCAATTCCAATAATGAATTCTAGATATGCAAGTAGCATTTTATCTTTTGCTGAATTCTTTTAACCAAAGTCCTTTCATAAGTTTCGAAATCCGCAAATTCCCCTCTAATCCCTAACATTTCGCCGCCTGATACGTGTCATTCCCTCCTCGCGCCACCTTCCCCTGTCTCTTTAGAAGAAGGTAGATGTGGATCCAATATGCACGTAACTATCGTTAATATATATATATATATATATATATATTGGCCAGGCTATTGTTAATATTTTAAGAGAGGCCAACCCTTCAATTATTAAACTTTACCATGGCGTTTCAATATGACGATGGTACGCATGAGGAGATGCGCAGAATAACATTTAAAGTCTTCTCAAATTAACATTTAGCTTTTAATAACAATATATATTTTATATTTTTTCATAAGATAATAATGATTACGATTTAACTTTTAATAATAATATATATATATATATACAGGAAGCCAGGGCAGGGGGTGCAGATTAATTTTAAAAATAATTATTTAAAAATAATTATTTAGTATTTTTTAAAAATAATCATATATTTTATAATTATCCCCTACTTATTATAAAATGCTATTAAAAAATAATATTATTTTTATATAAAAAATCTATAAGTATATAATCATTAAGCAGGAACTTAAAAATAAAATAAATAAGCACACTTTTTTCTAAAAATCATATTAAAATTTTAGATTTAGTGGATTCAAAATTAAGCTTCAGTTAAAATTTACAAAAAAAATATCTGAATTTTAAGGGATACAAACTTTTAAAACTAAAGAGAATGAAATAGCAAACTCTATACTACTTATTTATAATTTTCTTTTAATTATGAGGTGCATATGCCCCTCAAATATATTGGCTCCGCCACTATATATATATATATATATATATTTTCATAAGATAATATGAATTTTTATTGGGATAAATTCCTGCCTTAAATATCGTTCTTCCAAAGCAAGGGGCACATATGTACGGTCCCAGTACCTTTGTTTGTCTTTTCAACGATGAAAAAGAAAATATGCTCACCCCTTTATTGAAATTGAGACTAGCTAGAACAGGATAGCAATAATGTGAAGAATTCGTATTTTATTACTCTGAGAAATAGCAGCCATTTAAAATTGTATTAACAATCACCTCGAACCTAACGGTGCCGACTTGATTAATGTGGTTCCCTGGCCCTGCACCGCGTAGTTGACGAAAGAAATCTCGAAACATTCAGATAAACTGTGGCAAACACCATTAATTATTTCTCCCTCCGATCGATGATAGCATGGAATTAATAATCAACCCAATGCTTCATCCCATGTGCTGTACTATATGACACACACACGCGCACACGTGTATATATACAAGGTAAGTATAAGTAGAATGGGCAGCCGTATTGATGATTTGTTGTATTTACAATAAGAGTGAATTAATTGACTAGAACGGAGCAGATGCCATGTCTCTGAATGCTGCAACTACTGCTTCTGCATCTTCTAACATCGCCGCTTCCTCCTCCTCGTCCATGTTCATCATCCTCACATCACAGGCCGCGCTGACAATGGGCTTCAATCCCTGCCGGAGCCATCAACACAAGAATTCACTCGATCATAAAATTCAATTGATTCGCTCCAGAAATATATACTATGATTGACGTCGTACCTCGGTGAATATTCTGGAAGCTTCTTCGAACGTCTTGGTGTTCAAGATGCAAATGGCTAGATCCCTGGCCGACTGCATTTGCTGCATGCTCAGAGTCCTCGGCTCTCTCTCGATCGAAGACGTCCTCTCGATCTGTAACATCGACGCATCCATTTTCCCCCCGAAATTGGAAGGTTCGGTGATGATTTTATAGCAGAGAGTGCGGGGGGACCATGGCGGTGAGAGGTGGCTGACACGCAACCGGGACACGTGGCCGAGGTATCCTAGGCGATGCCCTTAATGGGACAGGTGGCGCGTGATGGTGACGTCGTAGCATTTGAGAATGTCGAAAAGGAAGAGGACCGAAGAATTTTGTCCTGACGGAGGCCTACGTGTTAGGGTTGGGTACGCCAGAAGGAACCAGAGAGAAACACGAGTTCGGTGCCTTGACAATTTAGTCGCGCGTTGTTGATCCCGAGGTGGGTAACAATCGTGTACGGCGTTACTAGATCTCATCCCATTGGAGTGGCGCCGAATAAGAGAGAGAAAATTGCATACATATATTTCGTCCATTTTTATATATAAAATATTTTTAATCAAATCATATATATTAATAAAAATTTATTATTTAATTAAATTTACATAAAAAATAATAATTTTTTAATTTTATTTTTAGTAATATCATAATTAATATTATAATAATAATAAAAAATTATAATTAATAATTTATTTTATTTTTTAAAATAAAAATAAATTTATTTAATTATTTAAAATATTATTATCATCTCTTATATTTAAAAATAAAATAAAATTTTAAAAAATATTTTATATAGACAATTAATTACTAATTTATTATCATTTTTTTAAGCTTTAATTAATTGTCAATTGATTGTTTTCAGAGAACTTTAAAGCAATTCTCCTGACAAAAATCTTCGCCTGATTATGCGCAGTCATGTCATAGTCCAGTCACTCCATTTTTATATATAAAATATTTTTAATTAAATTATATAAATTAATAAAAATTAATTATATAATAAAAACAACGATAATATTTTAACTTTATCCCTAATTATTATAAATAAAAAATAAATATATTTTTAAAATAAATTAATAAAAGTATTTATTTTTTTAAATTTAATAAAAATATAATGAATTATTTATTAAAAAAATATATTAATAACATTTTATATTTAAGAATAAAAAAATTTTAAATTTTTTTTATATATAGGGATGAGGAGGATATCATTCACTATGAATTATCATTATACTACACTATTTTTCCGTAAGAGATATTTTCATGATATTTCAGTCCTGTGAAAAAAAAAAAGAAAAAACGTACATTTTGGTATTTATATTTTGCTCGTTTTGTTATAAATTTTTGTATTTTTTTAATATTTTAATATTGACACTTTTATTTTTTGAATATTTTACTTTCATTTAAAATCCTTACATTTTGTTCATTTTATTTATTTACAAACCTAAAACACCAGACAATAAAAGTGTAAGGACTTAAGATATAAAAAAAAATACAAAAATCTATAACAAAATACGAGTTAAATATAAAGATCAAAATATATGTTTTTCCCCCCCTTCCCCCCCAAAAAAAAAAAAAATTGGTCGTATGCGTACACACCGAGGTTAGGACGACCTCACGTCAAACTCGGTGGATTCCTACAAGTCTGCAAATAATTTATCGTGTTTGATGTAGATTATGCAATCCATCGTAGATTTGTAGAGTGCAATTTTATCTAATTTATTTCTATATGTATTTAGAAAATAACCAAGAAGTGGGTAATTAATTGTGATTAATTTAATCTTGTCAATTACTCCCTCTAATCCTATAAACCTATTTATAGGATAGAAAGAGAAAATTTTTTTAATCATATTTATAAATCACCTCATTAAATTCTTAACACAAATTTACCCATTTGCTCTCTAATAAATGTCAAAAAGAAAAAATATGTTATTAATGTTTTTGTATTTAATAGAGATAGGATTGAAAATTTATTAAATTTTTAAATAAAGTTAATAAATTTTAAAATTTTTTTATTTTAATAAAAATTATTAAAAATAACTTATAAATGAATCATATATAAAATCCAATGTTAGAGTGGACGGGTTTCAATATAAAAGGGTGCTAAAACAAAAATGACAACAGGTAACTGTCCTTTACAAGGCATTCGGTTTCTGTACTCATCCTGTACTCAACACCAAAATGCTTCTGTTGCAGTTATTATTATTATAATAAATAAATGCTTTTAAAATTATTATTTTAATATTTTAATAAATAAATTTAACATGTTAAATTTTGACCTAAATAGTTCAAATATAAATTTTAATCTAAACAGTTTGAAACTATACTAAAAAATTAAAACTGCAACTAAAAATATTTTATAAAGTATTTTTTTATTTTGCACATTTGTTCATCTATGTGAGGTAATATCATTCAAGATACAGTCGTACATTAAATATAAACACTTCTCTTAAAATAAATTTAAACATTACTTTGTTACATCATGAGAAACTAATTTATTTTGCTAGACTACTCAACCTTTATGTTAAACTCTTCAAGTCTTTTATTTTTAATTTTTTCAATACAATTATAAACTATTCACACCAAAATCTATATCTAAATGTCAAATTTTAATAATTTAATATTTATTTTTTATTTATTAAATATTAAAATAATAATTTTATAATATTCATTTATTATTATAATAATGATTTTGTAGTTTAAAAAGTTAGCACTGCAACAGCAGAGTTTTGGTGCACAACACCACAGAGCTCATCGGATAAAAAATAAATTTAAATATAAAAATATTTCGAATTAAACCATCTTCACATAACATGCAATTAAAAGAGACAATTATTATTAAATAATAATAACAAGTATTACTTTCATTCAAATCTCAACCTTAATAAAGTAATTACTTATTTTTAAATTAATTTTATATTTTTATATTTACCTTTATTTAATAGGGTATTTCACCCTAAAAAAATATAAAATAATCTATTTAATAGGGACACTTTAAAAAAAGAATCATAATTATACCTTAAAAAATTAAAAATAATTAATGTTTTTTTATGTTCAATATCTTAAAAAATACTTTATATTTTTAAACGGAGGGAGTGTGTGTGTATATATAATAGATCATGTACTTTTTTTTATATCTTGTTTTTCGTTCAAGGGAGAGAAATTTACAATCCCTTTGTCTCTCGTATCAATTAAATAATTTGGATTTTCTTTAAATTTTGTCATCCTCTCATCATTTAAGGAATTCTAATTAGTAGCCAGTTTTTGGAAAGTTATTGTTGAGGAAACTTCCTTAAAATTAGATAATAACTTAAAAATAGCAACGACGCTAGCTCTACTATAAAATTTAGTAGCTTGTAATTTTCACATTTTCAAAAACGATTATAATCTTCAAGATCCTTTTTTTTTTGTGTGTGGTTAAGTTTGAGTTCTTAGATATTGTTATCCAAGAAGACTTCTAATTTAAAGCCAAACAAGGGAAGTAACATTTAACAGGCGAGACTTGAACTCAGAATATCTGTGTGTGTGAAGAACACAAACTCAGATACACGACAACAACCAAAACATAGTAAAAAAAAACATGCGGACAATGAGAGGCCAAAAGACAAAATGCAAGGACAATACAATATTAACGCATGGAGAAAATAGGAAACATCTGATACGTAACAAAAGACACAGATACATGAAGAAAATCATACCTGGATTCCACAATAAAATAGAACACAAGCACTGGGTACATGCACTGGAAACAGAAATATTCAAATATATGGCATTACCCACCTCGATATGGTCGCCTCCTTGTAGAGACAAAGCCAATATGCTCCATTCTTCTTCTGTGAAACAATCCAACAAGCAGACACTTCATCATCATCAACTGAAACTCGAGAAGCGTCATCCCTATTCACTACTGAATTAATGAGTCGCCCCTGACGACAAAGTTGACTTTGAGGGCGACCAAATGCATTCACTGGGTACGTGGAGCCATACTATTACTACTATTACTATTATTATTACGTGCAATAGGCTGAATGCGAAGCGATTCAGAGATAGAAACAGAATCTACGCCTTCAATTTTATCCTCCTCATCGTCGACGTCCCAGATTTCCTCGTCAAATTGTACACCACGCCTAGGACCAAGACCGTCCGTCTTGAGCACCCTACAAAGCACAGTGGAGTCCTGCAACACAAATAGAACAGAACTATACTGATAATTGAAACAAATTCATTAGCATACAAATCAGCAGAATATATATAAATATATATATACATCCTTGTTACTAATTCAGCCGCAGCTACAGAATATTCAATCGATATCGTAAAGATTTAACAATACAATAAGAATATTCAAGCAACAATATTATCTCGCCTTTGTCAGCGAGATCCTTAGTTTCAAGCTAAGTCTGAATTCATGCACAACCCAGTCAGTTCGAGATCCTTGAGGCGGTCGACCCATTTGAAACACTCGGGTTTTCATGGTCCCCACAATTTGATTATTGTGACAATTAGGTTTATCTTCCCTTCCCGTGGGTTTTCCAATATCCTACATCCGCGCCTGATTCCTTCTAGCTCCAATGGCTTATTTCTTTGCTCTAGGGCAAAAGGAATACCATTTCAAATCCTCAGAGCTCAATAAAGATCGATTTATCTGATATATTAAAAAACCCTTATTAATTAACATAAAAACAAACAAACCTAGTACTTCACCCAAGAACAAAAATTTGTCGGCCAAAAACCTGGGATATCCCATGGAGCGTACTTGTAAAACAGGAAACTTTTTTCCAATGACCTTCCTCTTCAGAAAGTACTTAGCCAGGTCCACGTCAGTCGTATGAGGCCGAAATCCCGGGATCAATTTCGTCTTGTTAGATATTTGATTTGATTTGAACCTAATATTCAGAATATCATTAAGTAATAAGATATCATCCGTATAATAAAATATCCTGATTGTAGCCCGAAGATAATTAGTTAATCATATTAAGATTATTATTTAATAGAGATCGATGTATAGACTGAGCTGAATCCCTACACCGCTTATCTTTGCTGTATTGTTTCCTCACTTTTCCTAGCTTACCAAGGAAGCAAGCGAGTGTAACAGACCAAGCCGTATGTAGTAGAGGCATTTCAGCGCTCAGGCCAACAGGAAATAGGAAGTTCCCATGTTGGCATGTTCTAACGTCGGGCGCAATTATGGATATTGCTCAAGTGATGATCTTTCCCTAAGAGCAGAGATGCACTTTCGGATTTTTTTTTTTTAACGGTATATGCGTTCTTTAAAAAAAAAATTAAAACAAAATCTCCTCAATATCCCCTTTTTTTTGGGCCAACTCAATATCGTTAATACTTTAAAAATAAATTAACAAAAATAAATCAGTAGCTTCATATTATACTCTAACGTTTAATTCATTGTGTTTGAAAAGTTTGCGATACAAAATCAGTTTTATGTTGTCTAAAATCTTAACTCAATTTATGTAACGGTCACTCAGCCAGTTATGCATCAATGACATCTGAACCGAGTAGAAATGGCTTGATTATTTTTTTAAGCAACGTCAAAAAAAAAATGTCGTGGATAAAAAACTACCGCTCAATAAAAAATAATTCTCCCGCTTGAGCCTAACGATATTTTGTTGGAATAAAAGATAGCTGTTAAAAAAAAAAGTAATGTAAATATCAATTTTCGCATGTAAAGAACATGAATATTTCACCCAAAAAAACCATGAATATTAACGGCATGGCCCTATGTATAAAAGGAACACTTCCAAAACGATGTTTAAGAAATACTGGAATTGTTTAATTTTTTCCCCTTTCACAAAAGTATTAGTTTGTGCGCGAGAGATGTTGGAGACCATAAAATTCGCAATCAGGAATATCATGAATCCATGCATATCAAAACCGACCGCATTTTTTACGGGCAGTTTTGTGCAGTTAAAAAATGTGCGGTCCAGATTCGCAAAATTCTTGATCATTGATATCAATCTAGGGAATATTATTTCACCGTGAAATTAGACAGGAAGGACCACCAATTGCACACGGTACAATCAAACATCATAAAAGAATTATGCTCACAACTTTCCATTGTAAGTATAATCAAACTCTGGAAGACAGACTCCGTCAAACAGCTGAGATGAGTAAAAAAGTTACATGAGGTCCGTCCAAATGTAGCAGCAGGTGGGTAATATATATGCACACCAGTTGAACACCACCCCAAGATTGTTGATAAATCGATCACACTTTGGACTGCCCAGCAACTCTCTCAACAGCCAATTTTCAGGTGGTCTGTGCTTCCTCTAAAATCACTGTACAGGGTGCACTATTTCTTAGCATTTAGGAGGCTAATGCAACTTCTGAAAGCAACACAGTTTCATATCACATGAAACGAGTAAAACAAATATTTTGAAGACCATGCTCCAGTAAATCTCGCCTAGCAGACTGCTCAAGTGTTATGCCAATGCTCAACTGTTTAAAAACTTCATTGCAGCTGGGGAAGAGGCTGCAAGTTGCCGCCTATTAATTTGTATCTTCAACAAAACTCCAAAGCCGCTCCACAGAGAACCAATCACCGTCTGGCGACTTTTTGAATGCAATGCAATCCTACTGGATGTGCAATCACCGCGCATGGTTAGTCAAATGTGTTATAAGCTAGTGGTCACTGGGTATCACTTCACAATATTCCATTTAAAACCCTCTGGTAATAGTCATATTGCCTTGTCCGCCAGGCATCCAGGCTGCTGCTAATAAGTGAAAGCACCAATGAAACACATTGCTGCCAGGAAAAATATATACATTCATAACAATCACATTCAAAACATTCCACCGTCTAGAAAGATATGACATAAGGAAAAATAATGAAACCTCTTCTGTTAAATTCAGATGAAAGCGCTTTCGAAGGTTCTGTATTGTTCGCAAGCCACCTTTAAAGCACGGAAATCCTGAGTCCTGATCCCAAATATTAGAAAACAATAGTTCAGGATAAATACGGCATAATTAAGAAAAGAAAGTATCTCCTGATTTATACTCTCATGGCCCCACACATGCACAAACACACACACACACAGAGCTTTGATTATAAAGGCTATCAATGGTGACTGGGATGGGAATGCGTCAAAATTGGGATTTTACCCTCGCCAGATGAAGCCTGCACGGTTGCTACCAAGCATTACCTATAGTGCACAGGCAAAAGGAAACCTCATTCTCTTTCTAAGGCAATGCGCAAGTTAGATATGCTAACTTAAAGGTGTAAAAGTAAGGTTCGGCACCAAAAAAAAAGGTGTATGGGGGTAGGTGTTAGAATTTTTCCTCAGACAACATAATCGTATCAACAAATTCTTAGTAAAGGATATTTTTACAACAACTTTACATGCTTCTGGTAAGGATTCTGCGGTAACTTAATCAGTTAGCAGGCAGCTTATGAGGAAATTTACGAGAACCAAATCACTGTAACTAAATAAACTAAGCTGGAAATGCTACTAACTAATGGCCATTGGCAAAGGGCAAAAAGGCGTAGCCTGAACCAGGTTTGGGCTGAAAACCAAAACTAGACCATACCACAGAGCTCCTCTGTCTATTTCCAAGAAACAGAAACTTATCACAACACCCAGTAAGCAAGGGAAGACAATACTAGTGACAATGGCACCTCGGGAAGTTAACATTCATATTGTTACCTGCAACATCTCCACTAGAAGAATAATGCGCTCAGCATGCTTGCGACAAGTAAGGAATCCTTGAATGCATAAAACCTGGAATACAAGGGTCAAAGCAACAGAACAAAATTTCATAGTCAAAACAGCAAAGGCTCTCTGCTAGGCATTGTTAAGGAAAGATCAAAGATGGATAGAGAGAGTTTCATCAATACCTTGAAATAATCAAAGAACTCACTTGGAACACCCTCGGCATCAGAATCCATGACCTAGCACAATCACAATGTAAAGATCATTGTATGGAGGAAAGTTGATATCTAATCAAATTAACCCTTAAAAACAAGATATATTAAACAGCAAACCATCTGAGTTTTACCTCAAGAAGTTCACGCGTTAATTTAAAAGGGGCACTCTCAAAGTTAACACCACCAGGGGAGTTGGAAAGCATAAAGCCAAAATCAATGTGTATGATATGACCTTCTTCATCCATTAGGAGGTTCCCATTATGTCTGTCCTTCACCTAGACAACAAGAATGCAACAATGAGAAGTGGCAGAACACAAACCATCAAGCCTCAATTAAGGGGAAAATGTTGTGATTCAAAGGCCATTTGAGCATGAAATGCAGAAATGCATCGTACATTGGGATTGCATGTATGTTCATAGAGTAAGAGGTTTCACACCTGCAGAAAGTAGCACACTAGGGAATATCCGGCCATACTCTCAACGAAATTCCTCTGGATCAAAGAAAGTAGATAATTATCAAATTAAAACAGAAATAATATTTTCTCCAAACCAAAATAAAATCAAGCAAAAGTTCAAAGAATTAGTAAAATTATAACAGCATTTGAAAAGAAACACAAGTAATTTCAATATTAAAAACCTGCAAGAGACTGCATCATAAATGCTCTGGGGGTAGGGAATGGGAAAGAAGGGGACGTGAGGAGGTAAGGAGCAGTTGGATGTTGCAAGCAAATTGAGCACCCAAAGATAACAAGTCAACTTTAGTACATCCAGAAAAACCATGGATGGCAGAAGGATATGAAAGAAAACCTTCATTTCACGCCAGCCTATACTTTCAGTTCTTTAACATGGTACATAGCTCTATCGCTCACTGAACCAAATTCATAACCAAGGAATATGATTTTGGTTGAATTTCAGCAGTGTAATATACTTGTACTTGGTTTTATGGAGAAGAGAAGCAATACTTGTGCTGAGTCAATCCTTCAAGCCCACATGGCTAAGCACCCAGTCCGCCACCCAATTGACCAGCACAAGAGGGAGTAATTTGTAAGGCTCAAGCCTATTTTATAAAGGAGAAGCATAGTTAGATCAGTAACCACTTCAAGTTTAAGGTTCAAACAGCCTACTTCCCTTTTATCCAAAAGGACAAGCACAAAAACATCTAGGATAACCCTAACATGGTATTCTGTACATATTCTTTAATTCCTTTTAAATAAAAGTGGAAATATCATTGAAGAGTGGCAAGCTTCTCGGTCATGCTAGAAGCTCAACTAGAAGCAATATCCTAGTCGACTGTTGAAATGAAAGCTATCGAGTATTCCCTCTGGCTGAGTAAAAAGGCACAGCTGATGAAGTCATACTGCATGCAGAAAAAATGGCCTGATGACTGGAGTTTTTAACAAGATACTTTCCAATTTGTTGGTTATTGAAGGTTAGGAGGGTATTTTTCACGGGTTCATGTATCAGGTTTCTCTATAACAACATGAATCAAACTGTTTACCAAATTAAGAAAGAAAGGGAAACATTAGAAGTAAAAACATATTTTATACTCCTGAGCAAGAACTCAAAAAATCATAAGATAAAAAGTTTACTTTTAACTCATTTACAACTCTAAATTACCTGGGCAAGTTTAAAACTTGGAGAATTTTCTTGATACTTGGCAATGAAGAATTCCCGTAAACTTGAGATGTGCGGATATCTACTTTTGATAGAATGCAAAGAAGCCTAGAAACCACCCATTTTTTTTTTATCAAAGAAAGCAACTAAGGCATTTAAATATTTTCAAATATTTGGAAAGCATGAGTTTAGATTTACCGTATCTGGAATTGTTTCGATAAGAGCTGTGTAAGAAGAAGTACATAAAACTTCGTAAGGGCGCAACCAGAGGGGTAGACCAGCTTCTTGAAATATGTCTAACATCACAATGTAATTAAGAATGAGTTTGTTTTGAAACGCAAGCAGACAAGAGTCTGCATCCTGTAATAATCTGGCATCATAACATTATAAAACATTGGCTAAATTATATAAAACTCTCCTTAATTTTGAGTTATGTGCAAATAACCTATCATTTAAAACTTGACAAGGAACCCCATACACTCATAAGTTTGTGCAAATAACCTCCTATCGTTAATCAGTCCATTATTTTGGTCATGGAACATCACATCACTGACCACACACTTCTTGAAACTTTTTTTTTTTTCGTGGCAAAGACAAGCCCCTTAAATTTTGAATTACATGTAAACAATTTCCTTGAACTTTAAGTTGTGTGCAGATAATCCTTCTATCATTTTACATTCTGTTAGTGAAATAACTGATAAATTAATGGCAAGAGGGTTATTTGCAAAAGCTTAGAAATTTAGGTGGGTTCCTTATTAAGTTTTAGACGTTAGGGAAGCTACTTGCACAAAGCTCAAAGTTCATAGGGGCTACGTATATCAACAGAACTGTAGTATATGTACATTTGTTAATGCTTTTAGCACATACTGCCACTTTATCATTTTTTTTTAAATTTAATTTAAAAAAAACTGCAGTCAAGTAGATTTAGTCTGTTCGAGCACAAAACAATAACGAAAGTTAAACTGATAAAACTAAATCACAAAGATGAAGTGAACACTAAATTATCCAAAAGCTATCACATCTTTGAACCCTTCAAATATAATGAGAAAAAACGTTAATAAATGACCTAGGGCAATCAGGTGATAAGAATGGTATAAGGATATGAGCAGTGTTAATTTTTTTTTTTTAAATAGTATTAAAGGCTCAAAACTTCTAATGAGCTGGACAAAAAATGAAATGATGAAATTTCAGGAACTGATAGATTAGAACCAGCTCTGCTGTTTTGCCAAAAATAAAAAGAGGGGCGTCATTTGAACCTATAAAGGTAAGTAAAAAAGAAAAGGAAATGGAAAAATTACTTGCAAAAAGAGTTTTATTGTTTAAGCACCTTCACGTTCTTACACCCTTAACTACTTGTTTGAGGTTCCGTTCATGCCATGTAAAGGGAATTAACGATGATTACTTAATGCTGACTTACTCAATATCTAGGATTCTCAATGAGAAGTACCCACATGATAGAAATTTGAATATCAGGAATGAGCCATAGAAAAGTATTCTATGATGTTCTAAATATTACTTACAACCATTTGGGCGCCCATTTATACGACAAAAACAAGGGAGACAGATAATGCCTCTGACACATGGCAAAAACGAAAAGCAGTGGAGAGGATAAGGAACTAATAGATATTTAAAAAATAATTTTCCTAATAACTGCAAATAATTAACAAAAAAAAAAAAGGGTGAGGAATTCTGCAGAACGCTCTTTGTTAATTGTCTTACTAAAAATCACTACCTTTCACCGAGACTTTGAGAACATGCTCTATCTATACATGCATAGACGAATTTTAAACCATGCAGCATACTTTTAACAGTTGTTGAAAAAAAGCAGTTGAGTTCACCCCTTCAAAAGATGCATCTTATTTGCCTTGATCATAAATAAATGAATTGTGGAAACAACTACCAAAAGAGTGAAAAGAATTGACCAAAAAAGTAATTACAACATAATGGACATTGATGCAAAACTTTTTAGTTTTGAATAGAAAGAGGAAAAGGGAAAGTCAAAAAGACAGACTACCATAGAAGTGAGAAATAAGTTGAACTGCCAGATGCTCCTGCCTGCAATCATCGCCACTCTTTACAATAACCTATGTGAAAAATAGGAAAAATGCTTATTTTAAGCACAAGCATTACCTTGTTTTAATTCATAACTTCACCAATGACTTTGCAAAACCACTTCATATGGGGCAAATCTTTCATAATAGAAAAGTAAACTCACAGATCGCAAGTCCCAGCCAGGTAAATTTCCATATATTGAAGCCCGCCGTATTCTCTCTTTCTTAGCTTCCCAAAGTTCACCAGACAAGGCATCACTCGCCTTTGGAGTATTTCCATTAGCCTGACAAGAGAGATCACGTCAGATATATAAATTCCAGATTCTTAAGGTTAAACTAAATAAACTCCAATAATATAATCGTACCCTTGGTTGAGCATCTGATGAGTCTTGACCAGCACCTTTCAACGGAAGTCCAAGAGGTGCTTCCCCTTTTGCTGCTGCAGCCTAACAAAATAAAAAAAATGTTGATAGCAACTAGCAAGGTTCAGGCTATATCGTGAACAAATGTCAAATAATAATACAAAACAGCATACTGTCATGACTTATTTCACAACCATCATTTATACTAAATGTAACTATACAAAGGAAACGATCTTTTGCTAGACAGAATAACCCTAGAATCCACTGATGCAGAATGATAATGAAGAATTTTTATTATCTAATAGTGATGTCAATTTTTATTATCCCTATCCGGGCTAATGGTTATCATCATTTCAATGTATCATTTAGGATTAATTATGAGCTATAAATCAAGGCATGATTCTAGGGTATTGTTATCCCATTAGTTGACAATTAGGGTTAGTTAACACTATTTTAGTACGATTATGATTTCATTTTTGGATTGCCTTTGAATAAGTCTCCAATGAGTTGTTATCATTAGCTCTTTTTGATGATAAATCAATACATCGGTATCAAGTTGAGTTTAGGAGTTTCTTATCAGTTCTGCATCTACTCTACAGGAATGCTTAGAGGAAAACTGAAATAAGAGCCACTCTATATAGAAAAAGTGTGACAGTGTAAATATGCTAAAAAAAAAAACACAAAGAAACTTGGCTGACCTCCCTTTACAAGACAAACAGTGTATAAGAACTCAAGAAAAATAAAAGAGACAACTCCAGAAACAAGAAGTTCTACTTTTGGAGAAGGAAATGATGTAAATAACTGTGTCATAGAAGTTAAAGTCACTCAAAGGCTCACCTTCACTTCCTCTATTGCCACCATACTTGGTACACGGCGATGTTCCTTCCGCCGCCTTGGTGTTTGATCATCAATATCTTCCATTCTAACCCCAGGATCAGCTGTCAACACTACACACACCCACTCCAAATCACTATCATGTCTAGTTCTTGATACTTCTCTTACACCACCTCTATAATTTGAAGTATGATGTCGACTTCCATGCACACCAGCCACTTCTGTCTTATCTTGTTGACTGTGTAATTGTGTTTCCACAGAAAGATTTACAGTAACAAATTTGACTCTAGCCTCAGATACATGGGACATTGCCTGGTCTATTGCTTCAGCAGTTGATCTGGACATCCTATCACTGCTATTGCGATACACCTCTTGTGCAGTCCATAATGGATAAGCCCAGGGGGGTGGTTTTTGCAAGAGGGCATCTCCATTTGCCAAAGGAATTCCACCTTTAGAAAGCTTCTGAGAACTAGATGTCTCCTTGAAATTGCTTTTAAAAAAATTAGTGGCGAAGAGAATATGTCAGAAATATTATCCTTGTTTTAACCACTTCACTGCATGAAAATTATCTTATACCTGGGCATTTCACATTTCAAAACTTCAACACAGATCAAGTAAGGTGCCTTCTCCCTAGAATTTAAGAGAACAGCTTCATCTTCAGGTATATGAAGTACACGGTACATACCCTTTCCCAATGGAAAACAAATTCCTAGAAATATATCACAAGAAGAATTTACAGAAGAGCAAGGTGATATATAAAATTTTTAACAACATGAAATGCAGTAACTTGATTGGCATGCAAATAAAGGAAGTATTCTTACAGTAAATAGTGTTTGTGCTAAATTGTGAAAACGAGATAGCTAGGTAAAGCAGAATTGGCCATCAAAAATTGGTTTTGGGAATCACTCAAGTTTGAATAGCTAAATCTTCTTTTCTATCAGATTATGAATCAAAATGCTCCAATAGAAATCCTAAACAGAATTAGTTTTGAACAGATAAGCTTTGTTTGATTTAAAAGTTACATTATATGCTGTTGGAAATTTAAAAAATGATTAACCAATTCAAAAATATAGACTTAAGAAAGTAAGTTTACCTAAACAGTCTTGAACCCTGTTTTATAAAATGCTAAAGTGCACTAAGTGAACTATTAACAGCCAGGAATAGTAAATACATTAAAGGAAAAAGCTTTTCAGCAGTTCCTCTTAAAATCAAGCCATTAAGGAACAATAAAAAGGTATATTCCAGACATTGATTATCAGAGATGTCAAAAACTAATGCAATGACTGATATAATGACCTTTCTACCATTCTTGCCAAAAACACACGATGCTTCACAACCAAGCTATTTCCAGTTTTATTTTCTGAAGAAATATGAAAAAAAAGCACATGAAGTCTCTGACTCCGTATTACCATAATAATTACTACTGATTTTCAGACCTCTCAAAATAACATTTTGCTTACCCAACAAAATGCACAACAAATGATAAAATTGAGCATGCCCTAAATGAGCATCTCACATATAATATACCCAATACCAAGAAGTACCTCCAGAATTTTGAGACTCCGTTATATGCATATTGATCTCTGCAAGCGACTATGAAAACAGTAATAGCAAAGAAAAATGTGTCAAAACATTAAACAGAAAAGGTCTATAAAATACCAAGTCAGCTGACTAATTAAATAAAGAATGCATCAAAGAAACATGTAAGAGAAACACCTCACGAAGGGCACTTTTGCGATCCTCAGTCGGAAATACATCCACTAACCCAAATGATGTCTCACATAATGTCAGCACAAAGTCCAATGACTCATGGTAGGCCCCTTTGCGGAACTGCAACATATTGTTTGGAAGTGGTGGCTTTGCATTTGATTTTTCACTCTGTTGCTTTGGTGAGCCAGGATGCTGCTACCCAATTAAAATGACAATGAATTAATTGATATGATATACATCCAACTGAGGCATGATAGTGTAATATATGGAAGATATCCTTTTATCTGATGTTAAAACCAATAAAAAAAGGAAATCCAAACACATTTCAGAATGAATTAATACTGTTAGTAATCTTTAATTCTAACTTATGGTTAATAACTAAATTTAGAGATATCACTTGATCATGCTATCACATGCAAAACATATCATGCTGATAAAACAATCATCTGTCTCTCTTCTTTTTTTTTGGGGAAAAAATAATATTTCAATGTATGGTTGGCTTAATAGAACCATTTCTATAGATAACCATAAGGCATTGCTAACGCTAGAACACTTATACCAGTTGTAGAAAGAGAAAAAAAAGTAATTGGCCCCCTCAAACATGAGCCAAGTGATTAAGTTAACAGCAAGAAAACTTGTGGTTTTGGCATTAGCTATTGATAGAAAGGGGCATATACTTCGTTATATCACATGTAACAGATGCTTTTCACCAATAATATACTGTTGACAGTGACACTGTAGGAGTATCTGTCCAGTGTGCATCAGACACATTTCAGTTGCAACGCAATGCTTCATATTACCCCCACACCATATATTTATTCATAAACCGGTGTCTCATGTATTTGTCAATATCTATTGTCCATACTTCATATGTGACACTAAATTATATGCTAGTGCAAGCAAAGTCAACGTGTTCATTAACATCAATTTTTGGAAGGAATTTTAAGAAAGAATGACTTAAATCTGATGCGGACAAATCATAAAAGGCTTTATCCTTAAGGGGAAATGTAAATTAAATCCAGAAGCCCAATAATATCAGAAGATTTATCCCTAGAGCCAATGACGTGGCCTTCACAAAAATGTAAGCAGCACCAGAGTCTAGATGGACACTGTGAAATGTAGTCTGTGTTAAGGAGTCAGAAAGTACGATTAAGCCATTATTATTTATCATAGTAACTAGGTGTGCATGTCTAGGTCTTATTGAGTTGGAAGATACCTAAGCTCAAAAGGGCCCAATAGTGACTGAAGACTTTATCAGCAGTACTCATAAGCCTTTTTGTCTGAAAAATATTATTTGTTTCTGTTGTTTGAATAAAGATTTCACATCTTCAAAATACGGAGATTATTCTGTTATAGATTTAAAGTAGATAGATTGCATTGGATCCTAAGAGATATAACCTAGTAAGAATTGCATCCCTGGCAATCCTTAAATTGTGATGCACAGTGCTTTGATAATAATGAGAAAATATGCCCTGTATGGAACATCAACTGGGAAAATACTTCAGATTTTGACATGTTGATTATTTTTGGGTTAAAATTCCACCACTGTAACATAACATTCAAAAACAAAGCAACAAAAGACAGTCAAAATTTGGCAAACCTCTTTGTGCTTCTTTGACCCCAATAACTCTGAATCCTCAACTGAACGGTCACGATCTCTGAACAATTTGCGAAAAAAATTCTCTGTACCTGGGCTACTTTCAATTAAACCACCAGTGCTATTGTTTTCATTGGCTGAACTACTTTTACCATCTTCAGGATGCACACGAAATAGTTTTTTGAACAACGAAAACTCAAAAAGCTCTTCTTCCTCGCCATTGGAAGTACCCTCTACGATTTTATCATCTGTATCTTTCTTGTCTTCAAATTTATCCTTAAATATTTTACGAAAAAACCCTTCCTTTTCATCCTCTTCAGCATGTTTTGCACATTTCTCTTCACGGAGAGGAATATCTCTCTCATTGTTCCTATCACTCCCATCCCTCTTGTCGTCAAATTTCTCCCTGAAAAACTTACGAAAAAATCCCTCTTTTTCTTCATCTCCCACTGTCTTAGTGTGTGTTTTATCCTCAGATTCATTCTTGCTATCACGGAACAATCTCTTAAAAAATCCATCTGAGCTTGATGTTAATTCTTCATCCTCACCTTTACTGTCCTTTAAGAGCCTTCTAAAGAAACTGTCCTTTTCTGATTCTCCATCATCACCTTTACCGTCCCTACTGTCCCTTAAGAGCCATTTAAAGAAACCCTCCTTTTCAGATTCTTCTTCATCTCTATCTAATGACTTACGAAAGAGGAATGCATCTCGAATTTTAGGGCCCAGCTCATCATCACCCTTGCTATCTCTTAGAAACCTCTTGAAAAATCCATCCTTTTCAGATTCATCATCATCCTTCTCTGCTGACTTCCTAAAAAGCAAAGCATCTCTAACCTTTGGGCCTGGCATGAGTTTCTTAAATATGTTGTTCTCATCAGGAGACATTGGACTACCATCCTCTTGCAAAGTGTTCCCTGGAGAAGGTGAGGATGATACAGGCTTCTCTGTTGGTGGTGAAGATGTTAGAGAAAACAGACGCTGTTTTGATGACAGCAACTTGTTCAAAACAATGTTCTTGCCTCCAGGGCTTGGGGGTTCAGTTTGAGGTCGTATGAGAGGTGGCCACTCACCCATCAATGTAGCTGCTGTCTGGCACTTTTCCTGAATCCTACCAATCCCTTCATTGTCGTCAGAGTCCTCAAGCTCCGCTAATAAAAACCAATGCACCTTCAAAGCAATCTTGAGTGACTTTGAGCACACATCTATGACAAATTTGTCCAAAGATGGGCTTGGTTTGTGTATCATCATGTAACATATTTGGAACAAATAACTTTCAAGTCCCTGTAAGGGAAGGGTATACATTCGATTACAGAGATAGTCCCGTACACCGGAATGATCATGCTTGTACAAGTAGCTAACAGCAATCCATTCGCAGAAGAATGCTGAGTCAAAAAACCTGATGAGCCACCCATTTTCACTAGATTCACTAGTCAAGTTGACCCTCGAGGTGATTTCCCTGGGTTCATCAGCGAATCCACGAGTCAGCCCTAAAAGCCTCACCATCGTCAATCTACCATCATCAACCCCAAGTCAACTATCGGTAAATCTAAACAATCCTTGTCTTGCTGCTACAAGAAGCGCCTTAATTTCAATTGAATCACCAGCTAAAGTTCACTAGTCTTTCAATATAAACTTTGTAAATCCCAAAAACCATCTCTAGAAAGGCAAAAACCCTAATCCTCCTACAAATCTATATTCCAACTCTGGTCACTCATCTGAATTAAACGTCTACTGTAAAGTCTGAGAACATATGATTGAGCAGGAAACCTTCATAGCAAGCGAAAAAATCCGCTTTACCTCGGCAAATTATATACCGAATGCAGCAGCTATGCGATAATTTACTGGGAAGTCCTCTGGAAATTATAAAACAGCTTGAATTCGATAAATGAAGTGAGCACGGCGGAAAGTATAAATCTGATCTGGTGCATAGAATAGCGTGTAAATGAATCAAATGTTGAAAGGGATCTCCGATGCTTCTCGTAAGCGACGGCGTTTCCTGGAGGCGGCGGATGGTGGTGGTCGTCGTTACTTTGTTAGAGGGAGAAGGACGCCGAAGGTCGAACACAATGGAGGAAAATTAAGACCCAAAATTTTAAAATAAAAAATAGAAATACCGCTAAGATGCGCTTAACTGTAAGCTGCGCACTTCTACTGGTGCGGTGTGGTCATGTGGGGCACACTTTTATTTCCCTCCAATTCCAAAATAAGTTACATTCAAGTTGAAGCATCTTTTAGGCAAAAAGAACAAGAAAAGGCGTTTTCTTTGAATACAATTCCTCTCTAATATAATTGAAGAATCTACGGTAGAAATAAAGAGAATGGTAGATTTTACATGTCTTGGGGGATAATATTACCTCCTTAGTGATTGAAGAGGATCCGTGTCAGTCCCGCAAGTATGGTTAAACTAAAGGAGAATACCAAAGAGAAAGAAAGTGTGAAAATAATGCAATTGTTACCTGATCCTAATGTCAATTCAACTACAATGGGAGGAAATGTGTTTTTTGTTATTTTTTTTATAACCATATCTGTTTTTGGTCTTTTTCTTTTTTTTTTATGGATCACAAATATCTTTTAATGGGAGACAATCTTGTTCAAAGTATGGTAAAATACTAAATAAATACACATTTTATCTATAAAATACTCTCTCCAATCCAAATTATAAGCAACTTTTGCAAAAAATCCACATATCAATAAAGTCATTTTCTTATAAAAATATTTTTTTTTAAATATAACTTTAGATTCTTGTATTTTGTTTGCGTTTTATTATTAATTTCTATACTTCTTTTGGTATTTTTTATCCTTATACATTTATTTTTTATTATTTTAGGTGTTACCTAAAATAATAAAAAACAAAAAGACAAGGATAGAAACACCGAAAAAAGTACATAAATCAATAACAAAATGTAAGTAAAGTATAGAGATTTAAAGTTATGTTTTTACTTTTTCTTTTTACCCATAATCCCAATTACAAATGACTATATGATGAGTAAGAGATATATTTATACAAATATTTAAGTTTATAAATATAAAGGGTAAAATGAAAAAAAAAAGTTTCACATATATTAGATTGTTTATATTTTGAGTCAATATTAGCTCAATAAAAACGCTTATATTTTGGACCAAAATGCGGAGTGATGTATAATTCTTATTCATTCTCGGAACCTTAAAAGTATATCACTTGTTTTGAAAATTTGGGATTTATCATTTGATTCATGAAATGTGTATCAACGGGAATCAACAAATAACAACTAAAAATTCAGGAGAGAACAAATCGTATTCTTTCCATTCAGAGGTTAAGAAATTAGCGCATGCATGTTTCAATAATTAATTAATTGTACAGACATAAAATGATAAGAATGGGATAGCGTGTATATAAAAGCATGAGTTAATAACCCTTTGAATTGTGTATTCTTTCCTGAACATGATATAGGACATTAATAATTAATTTATAGTTTTCAAAAGGTAATAGTTGAAATCTAAATTTCTTAAATAAATTTATATACTTTTGATTACATCATCATCAAATATCATATATAAATGGCTTGATAATGACAATTAAAATTTTAAAGTATTATTTTTTTAAAATAATAATAAATAAATTAAAGATATAGTTGGCCAAGACTTTCACATTGGAATATTGTGCCTTGATAGCTGCAATTAGGGCTGCACAAATACTATACTAGACTATTACAAGCTTATTGTTGTAAAATCATTTTATCAATTAATATAAGTGAACGTCATCATCAATTATCACTCTTCACATAAAATTTTCACTTTACTCAAACACAACTTCCTTTGCAGCGCACATTCATCGCATCACATACGATATACTCTTCATTCTAACTTATTATTGAAGTTTACACATCTTTTCAATTTCAATTTTGCATTTAATCAAAGTAAGATCAATAAACTTTCATATGAATTTTGACATGCAAATAAATCTATTTTTGCATCATAGCTCGATTAACAAACAACTATTCAAAATAGTCTCTCTTAGTCACCTTAAACCTTTGAGATGTCAATAATTTACCTCTTGATAACTTGCTTTTAAGTCAAACATGGTGCTGGGACAATTAGTCTATAATTAATCAAATCTAAAGTTATCAACATTGCTAAATATACACTTTCAACTCTCATTTATTTTCATTTCTAAAATACTCAAAGCCATTGTTTCTCATGTGTAGGCTTACCCATTAGGTATATTAATTTTCTTTAACTCCCACTAGCTTTATTAAATATTTCTAGGGTCATTAATGTCTCAACAACCTTTATAAATTTGAATTTAATGCCTATTTTCGGATATTAATGATTTTCAATTGCCATCAATGTCTAAACCCATAATTTCTAGATTTAAATACTTAAAACCACTTCCATTAACTCAATTTAATTTAATAGATTTAGACCAATTACCTATATGGATTGAAAATCAATTTTCATTAACAAACCCTCACTCAAAAATTCTTAAAAGAGGAAGGAAAAGAAAGATAGGAGTTTGAAAAACTTACCTTTGATGTGTTAAGGCCCAAAAATGCTTTGTAAGCTTTAACTTCTCAAGCCTTGGTAGAGAAAATATCAAGCTTTTTGTTTTTCTCTCCCACTCTTGTATTTTTTTGTTTGAGAATGTGATATATTTATGCAAAAAATGTACCATGCACCATAGCACATGCCATATGCTCTGTAGGGTGTGATATAGAGGAGGTTGCTCCTCATCTTCTGGCCCCTTGGACTGTGGCATATCGCCCATACACTGCGGCACGTGACACAAAAACTTTCCTCCTTTGGTTTTCACCTCTTTTGATGTCCAAGTGACCCAATTTCACTTTGGGCTTAAAGTTATGGCTGGAATTACACTAAAAATACTCATTAGTCTCCCTGACCACATAACACATGAATCCTACTTTCTTCCATTAATTAGGTTGATTGTTAAGGGGTTTCAAGATGTTACGCCGTCCCAAAATATAAATGAGACTAACTTTTTGTCCCATGTCTCATTCCATTCTAAAAGTCACCCCACCTCCATTTGAGATTGGGATAAAATTGAGAAGTCTTGATAGAGCAAACAAAATGTGAAAGATATGGATAATAATATTCATTAAATTACGTAATTTGCTAAATTGAAAACTAAAACAACACGGATATATAAATTCAATTTTGAGTTACAGCAACTACAGTTTAAAGTAAAAGGACACGATTACAACAGTCATAATAGTCAAGCGCACAAAAAAAAAACTTTCAAGCTACATGTACTATAATAGTAACAAAATCATTGAGTCACATAATAAGTAAGTAAAATAAATGAGTAAAAATATACAATCTAACCATAACTAAATAAATAATGTATTAAATATCAATAAAAGAAGGGGCTTTTATAGATATAGCACATGGAGCCGAAAAAATGGGCCGAGTTCGTCAGACTAGTCCGTTTAAACCCGTATAACAATAGGGCCAGGCTTGTAAATAGGACTGTAAAATAATAAATTGGACTTAAATCAGCCGGCCCTACGGGGTCGAGGGCCAGCTCGTTTAAGCTCGTATATGTTTATTTTTTTAATTAATTCTCATAATTTTCACTCTTTTTAAATTTGAAAAAAAAAACTAAATATTACTCCACATCACATATCAGCCCATATTTATTGAGGATGGAAGGCAAAAAAAAAAGAAAAAATAGCAATGAAGAATTACTAATCAAAAATTATATCAGTCAAGGATCACTTGTTGTCAAAATCTGAGTGGATACTTGTAGATTCGAGTTAGCCTTTATCAATAAGTATTTATTTAGGTTTTAATAACAACTCATTTTAAATTAACAATAGTTTATTGTAGTTTGTTTTTCATTCAGGTTTTGACAACAATTAATTCTTAATTGATATAAATTTCATACAAAAATCCTTGGCTACTATTTTTTTAAAAAAATACAACCTTAAATTTCCTAATTCATCTAGATCCATGATAATGCTTCATTCAGTTCAACATTTACTCTTCTAATTTCAATTGGGTGTTTGTCAACTTAGTCGATCCATTGCTTATTGCATTGCTATTATTTTATTTGTATTTTTAGTTCATTTAGATGTCATTTATTTAGTTTTTTTGTACCTTTCTTGATTGGGTATTATATGAGAATGAAGTAATTTTTTATTTGATTAAAAAATTTTAAAAAAATAAAAATAGTTAAAAGAGCCTAAAGCCCGTAGGGCCGACCCTAAGCTCGTTATGTCAAGGGCCGAACTTCGAATATTAAGGTCTTAAAGAGAACTCGAGCTTAAAAGGGCTGGCCCTTTTAGGCTCGAGCCCTTCAAGGGCCGAGCCTTTTTGCCAGCTCGGCCTTTTTGCCAGCTCTAATAGCACATGTTATGGAATCAAACAAAGCAACTAACCTAACATTAATTATAATTTATTTTATGGTCGATTTATTATACTTATCAATGATATATTGTTATATGTCAATGATAAACTTTTTATAAATTTTAAATTTCCAATGATAAGCCCTTCTATTTTAATAATAAATTCTTTGTAAACTAGTATGAATCGGCCACACCCTAAATTTTTAAAAATTTGGTTCATGTTTTTTGGATACAAGATTTTTTTTTAGTCATGAAGCCAATTTATCCATAAAAGGAAACAAATTTAAAAATATAATACTATATTCAAGATGTGATGTCTTAAGCTCCCGATAGCGATCTATAACCTCCTTTTATGTTCACTTAATATAAAAAAAATTACGGTGTTACCACTGTCTCACATCAATTACAATAATCAGATTTTATTTCAAAAGCCTGGGCCGAAAACTTATTTTATAAAAATCGATTAATTTACAATGTAGTCAGAGAAATACACAGCGAAAGTAGATCATACACTCTCCTAATACGTAATGGTCATAACCCGCTAGCATTTATATCCCAATAGCATGCATTTCATCACAGAATAAAATTGAGAAATGGTCCGTGTGCCGCGACGTGCAGTTCGTGCACCATGGCATGTGGTATAAAGCCACACGCTCACCTTTTCCGTGCCGTGCGCTGTGGCATGTGTCACCATGTGCAGTGGGCTGCCTATCTAAATTTTGCTGTCATTTTGACAA